TGAAAAGTGATCACTCCTGATCACACCTGATGTACCGATGTCCTCTCTCATTTCTTGAGACACTAACAAGCCAGGACAGTACAAATACCCCCCCCAAATTACCCCTTTTTTTGGAAAGTAGACATTCCAAGGTATTTAGTCAGAGGCGTAGTAAATTTTGTGAAGTTGTAATTTTTTCCCACAATTCTATTGAAAATTAAGATTTTTATTTATTTATTTATTTTTATTTTTTCCAACAAAATTGTTATATTAAAAGGTTATTTCTCCCACACGGCATATGCATACTTGCAACTACACCCCAAAAACACATTCTGCTACTCCTCCTGAGTATGGGGATACCACATGTGTGAGACTTTTTTTACAGTCTGGCCACATACAGAGGCCCAACATGCAAAGAGCACCGTCAGGTGACCTTAGGGGTATAAATTACACATTTAGTTTCCTGACTACCTATTACACTTTTGAAGGCCCTGGAATACCAGGACAATGGATTTACCCACAAAATTACCCCATTTTGAGAAAAAAACACCCCAATATTTTTTGTGAGATATAATTAGTCTTTTGAAGATGTCACTTTTTTTGGAAAATGTGGAATGTCCCACCCAATCTCTTCGAAGCCTCTGGACAAACAGACCCTTTTCTGGGAATTACAAAGCCCACAGAAAACCAAAAACTGGCTTTCTCTACTCAGAACTCTACTCTGAAGCCCCTCACATATATGTGCCAAATTATTAAAATAGATTGCAACTTTTTTTATACCAGAAACGGGACCTTCTTGTTGCTAAATAGGGCTGCAACATTTGATCGTTGAAATCACCCCCCCCCCCGTTAGAGATTTTAACCTTGGATGGCCGCAGGCTTTGAATTGGACCATGTCTTCCAGTAATTTCCACCGAGGTGTCATTGTGGATGGTGGACAGGACGTGAACTTCTCTCTTATCCTTCCACTTCAGGGCCAGCACTTCGTCATTTCATAGGCTTGCTGATTCCCCCCTTTGTAGCCTGGTATTCACTAGAAATTGTAGCCCTTCCTGATTTTTCGGGAGGTACCGCAGACCAAGGTTTTCTCACGGTACAGGTGTGGGAAAAAGGGCAGACTGGTATAGAAATTATCCATGTAAATGTGATAGCCTTTTTGGAAAAGTGGATAAGCCAGGTCCCAGACAATTTTCCCACTTGTTCCTATGTAGGTTGGGCACTCGGGGATGGAGCTGGGAATCTTTGCCTTCATATACGCGGAATGCATATAAATATCCTGTGGCTCTTTCACAAAGCTTGTAGAGCTTTAATCCATATCTTGCTCTCTTACTTGGAATATACTGCTTAATTCCTAGCCGGCCAGTGAAGTGGACAAGGGATTCGTCTACACATACATTTTTATCAGGGACAAGAAGTTCAGCAAATCTCTGGGAAAAAAAAAGTGGGCAAATTTTGTATAATTTGTCATAGTTGGGATGATCTCTGGGAGGGCACTGGCTATTGTCACTGAAATAAAGGAAACGCATGATCATCTCGTAGCGTGACCTGGGCATTATAGCAGAATAAAGTGGCATGTGGTGGATTGGGTGTGTGGACCAGTATGCATGTCCTTCATTTTTTTTTTTTTTGTAAGCCCCATGTTAAGGGTGAGGCCCAAAAATGACTTAAATTCCTCCAATGTAAGAGGTCTCCATTCAAATGGATGGGCATAGGGGTTGTTAAAAATGAATTGGATGGCATAAAGGTTGGTCTGGTCTACAATAAACTCTAGTAAAGTGTCGGGCAAAAATAAAAACAATTGCTGAAAAATTCTCAGTGTTGGCCTGCACACCTGGCTGTGTGGTGAAAGGGGAAGTGCTTACTAATCCGGAGTTGGAGGGCAGCCATAATGGGTTGGCAAGAGCAGCTGGGAGGTATGTTTGGGCCCTGATTCTTGGGGGTTGATGGAATATTCCAGTGCTGGTACTGGGTCTTTCCTCTATGGGTCTAGCACCTTTTGGCATTTGCAGATTGACCATTTGGGTGTATGGCACGGTGTGTGGCTGCCTCGTTTTCAGAGCGCCGTATCCATTTAGAAGGGACCCTTTCCACCTCTGATTCAGTCGCTGATCCACTGCTTCCTGTGGGCTCATACACTGAATTACAATAAGAAGGTGAGAGCTCCCCGCTGCTCTCATCTGTCATACTGAGGATTTTAAACACCTCCTCACTAGTGTAAACTTGTTTTGACATGGCTGGCTCTGGTGGCACTGGGACAGGTAGACTGGTGATGTTGGCTGTAGGATGGGTACTCTGGTGATGGTGGCTGTGTGACAGTACTCTGCTGATGGTGGTACTGATGGACAACAGGTGCACTGCTGATGGGCACTGATGGGCGACAGGTACACTGTTGGGTGACAGGTGCACTGCTGTGTACTGCTGGGCGACAGATGCACTGAAGGGCGACAGGTGCACTGCTGATGGGCACTGATGGGCGGCAGGTGCACTGATGGGCGGCAGGTGCACTGATGGGCGACAGGTACACTGATGGGCACTGTGACAGGGGCTGTGATCTGTGTATGCACTGTAAAAAAAAACGGTAACTCACTGTTAGAAGATTCATTTCCTCACACAAGCTCTGTGTGTGAGGAGAGGAAGCTGGTAACAGTGAGTTACCGCTCCGTGTTTACATTTATGACAGGCTGTGATTGCACACATACTGTCACGTGAAAGGAACCGCAGCCAACAGCTCTTTACCACGATCGATGATGATCACATGCGCAGTTAGACTCGGAGGACGTCCTCCCAGAACGAGAGAACCGCCTTGCACCCGTCATTTCCATATATTACAGGCAGGAGGCGGTTAAAAGAACTCCATTTGAGTATCCCAACATTAATGGAAATACTTGTTCAGAGACATATATCCGGTGCAATATTTCGCAACATATTTCGCCTATTTCAGGCTTCTTCAGGAGATATTTCAAATAACATCTATAACAACAAATTCATGTTGATTACTCAATGTACCAACAAATTAGGAATAGTCTATCCTATTCCTTAAAGGTATATGCCTTTTACTTAACCTCTCGAGTAATTTTTCCTTTTGGAAACTTTCGGTGACTGTTGATGCTTTTCTACCCTTATATTTAGTTTTTGTGCCCCTCTACCAACCATCTGAAACTCCATTTTGTCCGGGCCCCTTTGAGGGTTTTGTGTTCCATCAAATTGTGCTATAATGATTCTGCATACTACTTGTCCATTTGAGCCGTTATGAACTATTTGGTAAGCTGCCCTTCATCAAATTTTGAAATATTTGTATGATGTATATCACCTATATGATTGGTAGTGATTTAAATTTGCTTTATTTTTTGACATATGTACTCAGGATATCTAATTTGTTGGTACACTGTGTAATCAACATGAATTTGTTGTTATAGGTGTTATATTAAATATCTCCTGAAGAAGCCTGAAATAGACGAAACATGTTGAGAAATATTGCACCGGATACAATATCTCTGAACAAGTATTTTCATTAATGTTGGGATACGCAAATGTAGCTCTTTTAAACTGATTTTTACTGATTTACCAATAAATATTGTAAGTTTTAGCTTATATTGTTGTCCTATTTTGTATGGCACCTTCAAAATCCCGTTTACTCTTTTTTTCATGTGAGGAGTTCATTCTCTTCCTCTTTTCCTTCTCTTTGAATCCCCTCCTCTCTTCTCTTTGGTCATTTTTGTTTCTTATTGACGTTTATTCTAAAGTCATAATTGCTATTGCTAATATTGTGAACGTTTACTGCTCCTAGACAAAAGGTCGTTGGTGGCAGTAATGAGTTCATTAGTTAACTAAACCCAATGACAATTGCTCTGTCAGTTGGCACCTATATTGTGCTCCCACAAGGTGGAAAATCTTTGTGCAGGGTGAGACTGAGAGTGTCATTGTTGTGCAGCAGTAACAGCACAGTGTGAGGTTGACTAGTCATTTGTCACAAGTTGGTCAAAAAGACTGTGTTTGTCAGACCTTGGGCCCTTCCAGTCGTCTTAACCTCCTGTTGCAAGGTCTGATCTTCCATCTTACAGACGCTGGCTTTAATGGCATGGCTGTTGAAGCCAGAGTTCAGAGAGACAAGGAAGTCTGATTTGATCATTCCTATCCTACTATAAGCTAGGAAGGTGACTTCAGAGGTTTACCACAGGATTTGAAATAATAGACTGTGGTCTAGATTATGTATGATTTATATAGGCCCCTGTTAACATATGAATCCACCTTTTTAAAAGCTTGCATTATGATTGTCTTATTATCCTTTGCTTGTAATATTTTACAGGGCATACCGGTAGCAATACTTTGAAATATTATGTGATTAAGCTTGGAGCTGTATATGTATGACTCTTTAGGCCTCTTGCACACAGTACTGATGTTTGAGCATCTACTCAACAATTTCAGGCACTTGTTTTGCACGTATTTATGTGCACATGTGCGCATTTGTGCATACAATATATTCTTAGGAAAAATTGAATAAAATTTATGCTCATACGCACTAATTTGCACGCGTATTTGAATCTTGGTCAGTTCAGCAGGGACCATGGGCTGTCTGAATGTACCCAAGTTGACCGCAGGCAGTAATCACTGTGTTTTCCCAGTGGGGACTGCTCCACGGGAGAGATTCCCCCATCAACACTGACTGTGTTGGGGGAATCAAGGGATTTTCTTTCCTGCAACCCATGGTTGCAGGAAAGAAAATCGCTCCATCTATGGTTGGCTTTTAGACCAGATATTTTATCAGCACAAGCACACTTGCTGCAAATATATTATTGGTCAAAATTAATTTTTTCAATTTTTTTTCTTTTTGCTTAAAATTTTTAATTTAAAACATTTTTTTTTTTTTTTTTAGGTTGGGTCAGAATTAGCTCTATCATTAAAATATTCTTTATTAAAAAGTAGTTACTTGGTGCTCGCTTAGAGGCTAAATTATATAGGACAACAGAATGTGCCTAACAAATATGTGGTGCTTTTATTGTTTTGTATTTTTTATTCTGTAGAAAGAAGTACATGAACTAAGGATGAATAATTCAAACACCAACATGTCTACCCAGCGATGGACAGCTGAAGGATTTACTTCAGATACAGCAACTGATGGATACCATTTAACCCAGGGATACTATGATGTTCCACTGACAGGTGTGGCTTTAGTTTTCAGTCTTGTGTATCAAAATGGATTATTGCACAGTTGTAGCAGGAGTAATAGAAGATGTCTTTTATAACCTTTTTTATTTCAACACTTCAACTTCTATTATATACAGCCGCTCTATCACTTCTACAGGGCATGAAAGGGGCACCAACCAATCTTGTTTTGATCAGATGCTTTCAGAGCACAGGAGAGTTCAGGGGTTTATCAGACCCCTGATCTCTCCATAAAGAGGACCTGTCATACTTTTGCCATCACAATGGATTGAAAAAAGTATATTGCTGGATATTTGTGTATTGTGTCTTAGTGCTTGGCCTCAATTTGTTTTCAGGCAGCATTTTCTGAGTTGTCCTGAATTTAGTTTTGATAATACAGAGAGTTGGACAGACTTTCCAGGCTTTGCCTAGGTTTTTTTTTTTTTTTTTTTTATTACTACTGTCAGAACATGCTGTGTCAATTTAAATTGTTTGTGCAAGTCTGGTGGTTTGGGGATGCATAGAGCACATTTTGTCTGCTATGACAAAGTGTATTTAAACAGTTGTGCTAACATTTGTAAAAACATGAATCCCACAACTATTAGGCTTGTTTTTTTTTTTTTTTTTTTTTGGTCCAACACATCAAGGCTGAGCTGCACATCTGCTGTTCTTGGAAAGTTTGTGCAGGGAAACAAACTGCTAAAGGTGTAAAGAGCAGGTGCTTCATACCTATAGTAGCCTCCCAAACCCAGGCTTTTCCTTTTAAGTAGAGTCTCACTGTTTCCTGTTAGTCTGGGTCTTAACTACCAGAAGTGTTGGAGTTTTACCGTTTAGAACAGCCCAGATTTCTGCCATAACAGGAATATTTGAGAGTTCACTATAGGCAAGTTCTTGCACTTCATACTGGCAATGGTTCACCCCTCTTCCCCTAGTGAAAGATGTGTGTATTTTTAAGTGGTTGTAAACCTCCAACATGAAATCTGAACAAAGCTCATATTTCTATAGTGTTTACCTGCCCTTCTTCAAAGTTTCTCTATGCTGTCTAGTTCTGTTACTAGCATGTGTCACTTCTGACACGTTTTACTGACAGCAAGCTCTAAACAGGTGACATGGAGGATCTCCATCACACAGCCTGTGATTGGCAGCCTCAACTCTGTTCCTGTGTACTGTGTGAAGGAGGGGGTCCCTCCAATCAGCTCTCAGAGCTCTTGTACAGTGTGTACCTCCCTGCCCCGTTTGTCCTGTACAGCCTTGCAAAATTCAAAGATAAAGATAATAATTCACAGACTCACAAATGGCTTCAAATAAACCGGTACAACTTATGTAGGCGGTTTTGTTTCACCTAAGGCCAGTCACTTTGCTGAGTATAGGAAAGGGTTTACAATCACTTTAACCTTATTACTTTCATTGTTTTGTAATGCATAGAAGATAATTTAAGTAGCAAATGTTTGAATGAATAATGTAAGGTGCATAAAGTCTGCACTATTTAGACCAAATAGTACAGTCTCTGAAATATTTCTTTCTCTATCATATGTTTCAGTTTCTACAACAGCCCACCCATCGTACTATGTACAGTCTCCAGTTTACAATCCCCAACAACTACTTAGACCTGTGGCAAATGTTACTCCAACCAAGGTATATACTTACTAAAGTCTTAAAAAAATTGATAGTGTTAAGCATCGTTTCAAATGTTTTGCATGTATTATAATAATTGATTCTTAAAATATTTTCAAAGTGCAAGTTTGCATTTTTTATTATTTACATATTTTTAAAATGTTCAACTGCTTTCACTTTTGGTAAAAGGGCAGCCTGTTATTTCTGTGCCAGTAGCTTAAACAAAATTTAGGATATCCTTTTTGAAACCGTTTCCAGCACACCTCAAGCCTTACCTGAACTTTACCCCCCCCCATCATGGTACATCACAGGACACAAGGTTTCTTCATAACCCTTATGATATTGTTATGCTGCCACCCTCCCAGCTAGGCATATCATTGTGTGTTTTTTTTTTTTTTTTGCTAGTGTCATAGGTGATGGTCATTGTAACGGAACTGGACCCCGACCGCACTAGGGTATTTTCCGTTCTACTCCAGCTTCCCTGTCCGAACACAAATCCCCGGACACCACCCGCTGATCATGCAGGAAATAAGACAGCACCAGAATAAAAAAAATATCCAATGTGTCATACCTTAAATTTGCGTGCCCTCGTGAAAGGACGACAAACTTCAGTACCCTATTTTTTTCTTTATAGGCGACTCTTTTACAGACCCTTATAGGTCATCAGTTTAACGTTAAGCAGGAGGTCTGGTGCTAGAATTATTGCTGGCATGCGCTGCGATATGTAACGTGTATCGCAATCGTTTTCATGCGTAGGCGCCCCGGCGTGTGCTTTTACTTTTGTACATGCATATATGTGGGGGTGGGGCCTCATGGGTTTTTTTTTCATTTTTTTTTTTTTTTTGAGGAGATGTTATGTGCTTGGGTACAACTTTGATTTTTTTTTTTAACTTAAAAAAAGAAAAAATGTTTTACTTAACTTTTTTTTTTTTCCATCACATAGGGACAAAAAGTCCCCTATGTGATGTTTTTTTTTTTGGTGACAGGTTCTCTTTAATGAGTCGTGCAGGGTCTAAAAGATCCTGCATGACTCCCCTGAATGTAATGTATAGTACATCACACTGCATTACATTCTTTCCTGGCCTCGATGGCCAGGAATCTGAATGGGGACCTGGAAGTGATGTCAAACGTCATTTCCGGATCAGGACAAAATGGGGGGCGGACGTGTTTGCTCTCCTCCCCTCCCCTCTAGATGCAGGCACCCACTGAACCAGTCCGGGCGGAGGCTGACACCGTGGGCTGTGTGGAAACAACCGGGAAACAAACGCTGCCACCCGAATGCTTCCACCTGACAGGTGCGCCCTGTTGCTTGTCTGCAGCTGGGCTAAGGTTGAAAAAAGGTTACCTGTCTGACACTTGAAACTACATTTCACGGGCGTCGGGTGATACAAATTCAACATCCCTGAAGCTTGTTCATCACCAGTTCTGCATCTGAACAGACTCAGGAAGTTCTTTCCGGTGCAGAAATCCCAAATGAAATCGGTTCAGTTGGTGGACACCTTCCTTAAGCAGTGAGATTTTCTGATGTCAGTAAATATAGGATCTTCACATCCCACAGGCCATTCTGCCTCTCTATGGCCTCCAGGTTATTTACCAGTTTTTACTCTAGCATTGGATCCCTTACACTTTCAAAGTATTACCATTGTGCGTTACATGGATGACCTTCTGCTCTGGGAACACTGTCCCTCTTTTCTGGAGTCCAAAGTGCGTCAGACTGTTCTCATTTTAGAAAGGTTGAATTAGATCCTGAAATTAGCCTTGGTCCCCACTGAAAGGCTGTGGAATACTTGGGTCTGATCTTGGATACAGGTCAGTCGAAGGCGATTCTACCCCTGGGGAAATACTTGTCACTGCAAACTCTGGTTGTCGCTGCAAGCTTCAATAAAATCTTCAATATATTTGTGCATCAGTGTTCTGGGAAAGATGATCGCTTTCTGGTGCCATTTGCCAAGTTTCTAGGACTCTTCAACCAAATGTCTTGTCAGTGTGGGACAGAAGGACACAATTACTGGATTGTTTGTACCCCAATACAAAATTATCCATTGATTGGTGGATCTTTATGACCCATGCTGGAGATGGAGAACTTATTCTTTCCCCTGGCTTGGAAAGTCCAAACGGATACCAGCCTGAGTGGCAGGGGCCTAGAGAACATCTCAGTACAGGGAACATGGTTGTTGCAGGAGTGGACATTGCCTATCAACACCTGGAACTGAATGCAGCTCCACTAGCTCTTCTGCATTTACTCCTCAGGGGTGTCTCTGTGAAAATTTTGTTGGACAATGCCACGGCAGTGTAGTACATCATTCACAAGGGAAAAATCAGAAGTCACGTAGCTTAGGAGAAAGCAGATCTGATTTGGGCTTGGGCTGTAAGGAATATTCATGACCTGTCTGCTGGACAAATTCCTGGCGTGAAAAACTGGCAGGTGGTTTTTTTAGCAGATGTCTGAATTCCTAGTAGTTGGCCCTTCACCCTGTATTGTTCGAGATGATCAAAAGGAGATGGATCTAAAGGAGTGTGGATCTTTTTGGCATCTCCGTTTATCCCAAATCTGGGCTGTATTTCTTTTCAGGGGCTCTGAATGTTTGCGGCAGATGCCCTGGTGGCATCGTGGAGCTGATTTTCATTAATTTATGTCTTCCCCTTTTACAGCTTCTACTCTTACTGCTTTGCAGGATATTGTTGGTAGGGAATTCTTTTGATACAGGTCGCTCTGGCCTGGCCCAAGAGACTATGGTAGTCAGACATTGTAAACTTGTCCGTGTATAAGATTTGGTCTTTTCCAAATGGTGGCCACAGTGAAAACTTGCGTGGTTTCAGGATCAGAGGCATCCACAATAGTGTGACCCAGTCCCTGGGGATTCCACCTTGCTCCTCTCTCCTTGTAGTGGTGCTATGTTTGTTTGCAAAATGACACCCTTCCCTTCCTAATTGAGGTAATGGCACTGCAGATTTAAATGGCAGGAAGCCGGGGATTAATCCTGATTAGGCACTGCTGTGGACAACCCTCGGGAGTCCTGTCACCACTCCTGTGGTCCTCGTAGGCACTGTGGGCATATTTTAACTCTACTTCTGGGAGGGAATATTTTACCCTAGTGTTCAAAGGACCAAACGGAGACAGAGCAGTGTGCTTCTTTGCAGATGGGCTCAGCACAGGGTCAAGGCCTACAAGCAGAACAGGGGGAAGGAAGAGGAAAAGCTCATCCCACACCCACACTCCTTCCTCAATTTTGAGTCGAAGTGAGTATTCACTCCAGTGCTTCCTCTCACCATAGCAGACCTATAGAGGAAAGGGTCAGAGACTGGAAATAGGCCCTAATGTTGCCCTGTAGCCAGTGGAGCTGTAGGGTGCTACTCACTCGAGGATTCAGCTTGTGATGGCATTAACTGTCCCTGTCCTATTTGACTCTGTCTTCTTTGGGTGTCACCTAATCCTCCTGGAGGCTTTTGAGCCAACCATGTATGCTTTTATGGGGGGTTCTCCACTTCTGATTTTTTTACTGCCAAAATTTTGTGACACTATTTGTATTGATTGATGTTTTCTGGCAGAGTCTACCAGATCATCAAGGTCTTTAGTCTCTAGTACCGATTTACCATTCTGCTTCCTGCTCCCTGGGTTTAATAGCTTGGATGTTGAAGCCCAGGTTTTGAGAGATAGGGCCATCTCTGAACCTGTGATTACAGCAAATGAAAAAGACAAAAGATGTCTACTTTCTGTGAGATCCATCACTGGACGTGGCAGGCATACTTCACTTAGTGTCAGTCTCAGACGTTCCTCCCCAGGAGTTTCTCTGTGGCACGAATCCTCTCCTTCCTATAGCTGGGTCTGGATTAGCGTTTGGCTCTCAGCACTATCAAGGGGCTTCATTTCTTCCTATTTTGCCTCTCTCCTTGAGTAAGACCTTCATACCTTCCCTTGTTCATGCCCTGTGACTTCATGGGATCTGAATCTGCATCTCTCTCTGCTTCATATCTGCCTTTTGAACCCATTGGAGACATTCCTTTTTGCTACACTCACCAATAAAGTGGTATTCCTTGTAGCCAGTCACCTCTGAGGTAAGTGTCTCCACTGGCTGCTTTGCCCTGCAAGGAACTCTTTCTAGTTTTACAGAAGAAGGTGGTATTGTGGATGTCTAACTTAATGAAAATGAAATTTCCCTCAATTATCTAAATGTGGTTTGGGTTGTGAGTCTGTCATTTGGAAAGACTGATTTCCTTTTTGTAATCCCAGTATGCCCCTGCAGAAATACTTGGGCTTCTCACTCCAACATCTCTAGGTGGCTCAGGCGGACTTTCATCCAAGAATATGGTCTCAAGGATCAGATTCCACATTTTTCCTGCCTCAGCACACGCCACTAGATCTGTAAATGCTTTTCTGGACTTTTTTACATCAAGCAGTGTTGCCAGATTTGTAAGGCTGCCATCTGGGTTTCTGTTAACACATTCCTCAAGCTCTGTCAGGTGGACATCGTGACATCATCTGATGCCAGCTTTGGATGTAGAGTTTATCAGGTAGCTCATTAAAATGCAGGCAATCCCTAGTCCACGGTTTTTCATGAACTTGTTGGACATCCCAAAGGTGAGACTTCCTTTGTCCCTCAATGGAGGACAAAGAAAATAGGATTTTTTTAAATCCCCATAAAATCCTTTTCTTGAACCTGTTGAGGGCAACAGTTCCCACCCCTTTGTGTTTATGATTATGCTATTACTGCTTTGCTACAAAACCGAGGCTTGCAAGTAGTAGTGAGCTAGTTATTCTTAAACACTCTAGAGCTGCAAAAACTATATCTACTCTTCTAGGATACTGGCGAAAAACCGATATGTAGTAGTAGTGGGTTATTTTACGACTTCTTATGTTCCCTCAATGGGCTCCAAAACAAAGATTTTATAGGGTGTGAAAAAAAACTTTCTCTTTTTATATGATTTTTTTTTTTTTTTTTTTTTTTTGCTTTCTTGTGCACCACATAGTAACAGAATTTGGTACTTCGTTTCCAGTAGTAGGAGTGGGTTATTTTAAGACTTCCTGTGCCCCTTCAATGGGCTGCAAAACAAAGATTTTATAGGGAGCAAAAACAAATTATCTATCTTTTATATTATAATATACATTTTTTTTTTTTGTGCATCACATACAGTTGCAAGAAAAAGTATGTGAACCCCTTGGGATTACGTGGAGTTTTGCATGAATTGGTTATAAAATGTGCTCTGAACATCATCTAAGTCACAACAATAGAAGAACACAGTCTGCTGAACATAATACTACACAAACATTAGATGTTGCCATGGTTTAATTGCACATAACATGTAAACATTCACAGTGCAGGGAGGAAAAAGTATGTGAACCTTTGGAATTAATAACTGGTTGACCCTCCTTTGGCAGCAATAACCTCAACCAAACGTTTCCTGTAGTTGCAGATCAGACCTGCACAACGATCTGGAGTAATTTTGGACCACTCCTCTTCAAAAAACTGTTTCAGTGTAGCAATATTCTTGGGATGTCTGGTGTGAATTGCTCTCTTGAGGTCATGCCACAGCATTTCAATCGGGTTGAGGTCAGGACTCTGACTGGGCCACTCCAGAAGGCGTATTCTGTGCTGTTGCAGCCATTGTTTTGTTGAATTACTTGTATGCTTTGGGTCATTGTCCTGTTGCATCACCCATCCTCTGCGGAGCTTCAGTTGGCGGACAGATGGTCGTACGTTTTCCTGCAAAATGTCTTGATAAACTCTGGAATTCATTTTCCCATCAATGACAACAATCCGTCCAGGCCCTGAGGCAGCAAAGCAGCCTCAAACCATGATGCTCCCTCCGCCATGTTTTACAGTGGGGATGAGGTTTTGATGTTGGTGTGCTGTGCCTTTTTTTCTCCACACATAGTGTTGTTTGTTCTTCCCAAACAACTCAATCTTGGTTTCATCTGTCCACAGTATATTTTGCCAGTAGTACTGTGGAACATCCAGGTGCTCTTTTGCAAACTTCAAACGTGCTGCAATATTCTTTTTGGACAGCAATGGCTTCCTCCGTGGTGTCCTCCCATGTACTCCATTCTTGTTTAATGTTTTCCTTATTGTAGATGTGTCAGCAAAAATGTTAGCACGTGCCAGAGATTTCTGTAGGTCTTTAGCTGACACTCTGGGATTCTTCTTTACCTCATGCAGCATTCTGCGCTGTGCTCTTGCAGTCATTTTACAGGACAATCACGCCTAGGGAGAGTAGCAACAGTGCTAAACTTTCTCCATTTGTAGACATTTGTGGACACATGAACATCAAGGCTTTTGGAGATACTTTTGTAACCCTTTCCAGCTTCATGCAAGTCAACAATTCTTGATCGTAGGTCTTCTGAGAGCTCTTTTCTGCGAGGCATGGTTCACATCAGACAATGCTTCTTGAAACCAGTAAACCCAAAACAGGTGTGTGTTTTTTAAGGGCAGGACAGCTGTCAGCAACACATCCAATATCATTACACTGATTGAAGTCAAGGTTGGCTCACTCCTGGCTCCAATTAGCTCTGGGAGAAGTCATTAAGCTAGGGCCTCACATAATTTTTCCTCCCTGCACTGTGAATGTTTACATGTTATGTGCAATTAAACCATGGCAACATCTAATGTTTGTGTAGTATTATGTTCAGCAGTGTTCTTTTATTGTTGTGACTTAGATGACGTTCAGAGCACATTTTATGCCCAATTCATGCAAAACTCCACGTAATCCCAAGGGGTTCACATACTTTTTCTTGCAACTTTAGTAACAGGATTTGGTACTTGTTTAGATTGCATAACGCAGCCTTTAATTGTTTGTTAAACTTGGTTAAAGGGAAATTGACTAATTCAGCTCCAGGCTCTGAGTTTAGCTGGGCTCCAGCTTCTGAGTTTTTCAAAAACAAAAAAAGCTCCCCTCAGGCTTCAGGACCTAAAGCTAGCTCACAGCTCTGGAATTGGAGCATTGCCAATACTAATTAAATAGTTAACCATCTTGATTTTTAAATCACATTTTGCATATTAGAATCCATATCTCAATATGTTGTTTGCTCCCACAGACTTCTGTGTATCCGGTGAACAGAATGGCTACTCAGCAACACATGTATGCAATGCATACACCACCAGTTCAAAACACTGCCATGTGTGGTCATGCACTTCGCTTTGAATCGCCTGCAACAAATATTTTGTCTCCTCAAACTGATGAGTACTACAACTACAATTTGCCTCAAAACACTGCTAATCCCACACTTCCTGAGCCAGGGTATTTCACAAAGGCTGCTCAGGGAGCTCAACCAGCTAAAGCAGAGTTTGGAAAGAACAGCTTTGTTCAACCTATACAGAGTGAGGGACCAAAATCTTCTCCATTTACAGCACCACTACAGTCAACTCCAACCTTTAAATTTAATTCAAACTTCAAATCAAATGACGGGGACTTTACATTTTCCTCTAATCAAAGCGGAACACCAGCAAATGCTGGTAGTGAGTGTTTGCTGCGGCTCCTAACATCTGATAAACCCATTAATGATCAGGGAATAAAGCCTACGACATTTGATAACACTGATTCAAGAAACATGTTTAGGTTTGGTGAGAAGAATTTTTTGAATAACGTCACAGAAGGATCAAATCAGATACAGGATAAAAATAGCACAGCATTTAGTCAAGGTGAAAACATATTTAGCTTTCAAAGTTCTTCTAAAGCAACTTTTGTACCTCCAACAAAAGGACACAACAGAAGTCATGACTCTGATGTAGGAAGCGAGTATGTAGCTGAAGAGGATGGGCCACATTTTGAACCTGTAGTGCCATTACCAGAGAAGATTGAAGTGAAGACAGGTGAGGAGGATGAAGAAGAGATGTTCTGCAACAGAGCAAAACTTTTCCGCTTTGACACCGACACTAAAGAATGGAAGGAAAGAGGTGTAGGAAATGTTAAGATCTTAAGACATCATGTGTCTGGTAAGATACGCCTGCTTATGAGAAGAGAGCAGGTCCTGAAGATTTGTGCAAACCATTTATTAACTCCAGATATGAAACTTAAACCACTTGCCACATCTGACAAATCTTATGTGTGGCATGCATATGATTATGCGGATGAAATGCCCAAATCAGAGCAACTTGCAATTCGCTTTAAGACTGCTGAAGAAGCTGCACTTTTTAAATCAAAGTTTGAAGAAGCGCAAAAATCACTGCATACTACATATAGCAGTGTTGATGTTACCAAACCTAAACCTGACAAAGAACCTATAAAGGTCGGTGTTGCAGGCCCTCAAGGTTTTTCCTTTGGATCACAGTTCGGTTCTTCAGTGCAGGATGCAAAAACTACAAACCCTGGAAAGTGTTCTTTAAGCAAATCTGCTTCTGCTTTCACATTTAGTAAAGATACTTTATCTAACAAACCTCTCTCTGCTGAACAACCTATAAAGAGCAAAGAACAGTGGATCTGCAGTAAGTGTTCTACTGTGAATGATACAGCAAACAAACCGTGTATTCACTGTCACTCTTCAAACCAAGGCTGTAGTGGGTTGCCAGTCCCTAAAAGCATCACCGGTTTTATGAATACTGCAGCTTCACAGAGCTCTTCATTTGGCTCAGCCTTTGTGAAGAAAGCAGGACAGTGGGATTGTGAGATATGCTTGGTACGGAATGAGCCTTCTGCAACAAATTGTGTCGCATGCCAAACTCCAAATCCAGCCCCTGCACAGACCACAGCTCCATCTGCTTCATCTTTTAAGTTTGTTGCTCCTGAAAATAGTTCACAAAAAGATTTTGGGGGTTTGTTTGCAAAGAAGGAAGGACAATGGGACTGTAGTATTTGTTTGGTTAGGAATGAAGCCAATTTTTCAAAGTGTGCTGCTTGTCAAAGTCCTAAAGCACAGCAGCCAATAAGCAATACAGCTGGTCTTCCATCTCAAAAATCTGGTTTCACTTTCAGCAAGAGTCAGAATGGAAGCTTGGAATCCATGTTTGCAAGAAAGGAGGGGCAGTGGGATTGTACGGTCTGCCTAATCAGAAATGAACCTTCAGCAGCCATATGTGTTGCCTGCCAGACTGCTAACCCAAATGCAAAAAGTGACACTGCAGCAACTGAGGCAAAGTCAGCCTTTACATTTGGATTTAAAGCAAGTCCTTCCGAGTCCTTTGGGCCACCTTCCACAGGGTTTAAATGTAATTTCACTGGAAAAGAGTTAAAGTTTGGTACAACAGATGATAAATCATCTTTTAGTTTTAAAGCGGCAAGCGAAGATAGTAAACTTTCCAAAGAGGGATTCAGCTTTACAATGCCTTTCAGCTCTTCTTTTAAATTTGGTACTGAGCCAAATAAAACCGAACAAGAGAGAGAAACTGTTCCCCTTTTGAAGGCTGCTTTGGGTAGTGGCAAGGAGGTTCCATCGGTTGAAACCAGAGTGCAATGTGTGGAAAACAAGCAAAAACAAAGTGGGGAGATTTTTGCTAACACTGCTAACAGCTTTTCTTTTGCTGATCTAGCCAAATCTCAAGAAGGGTTTGCTTTTGGTAAAAAAGACCCTAATTTTAAAGGATTTTCTGGTGCTGGTGAGAAATTGTTTGCATCTAAAAGTGATAAATTTGACCAAGCAAACACTTCTGCTGAGCAAGAGGTTGGAGATGACCTTTACAAGACAGAGGATCGTGATGACATCCATTTTGAGCCGATTGTGCAGCTTCCTGATAAAATAGAGCTTGTGACTGGAGAAGAAGATGAAAAAATGCTTTACTGCCAGAGAGTAAAATTATATCGGTTTGATACAGACAGCAGCCAGTGGAAAGAGCGTGGCGTTGGCACCTTAAAGATTCTTAAAAATGAGGTAAATGGGAAGCTCCGAATTCTAATGAGACGAGAGCAAGTGCTGAAAGTATGTGCAAACCACTGGATTACAACCACCATGCACCTGAAACCGTTGTCTGGTTCAGACCGTGCGTGGATATGGATGGCAAATGACTTTTCTGATGGGGATGCAAAATTAGAACAGTTAGCAGCAAAATTTAAAACGCCTGAGCAAGCTGACGAATTTAAAAATAAATTTGAAGAGTGCCAGCGCTTGTTGTTGGATATACCTCTTCAGACCCCCCATAAGCTGGTAGATACAGGAAGGACTGCACACTTAATCAAGAAAGCAGAAGAAATGAAAACTGGTCTTAAAGATCTGAAAACATTTTTAACAGACCAGAGTAAACCTGCTGAAGCGGATACAAATTTTAGTACTTCTGAGAGTCTAATAAAGAAAAGCTTGGAATCCACAGAACCTACTTATGAGTGGGATACATATGACATGCGGCCAGGTTCTCTTGAAGGCAATTTAGATGATTCCATATATGCTTCTCCTTTAACAAATAGTCCAGAAAAAAGTAATCTCTTCAGATTTGGAGAATCTACTGTAGGCTTTAACTTTAGCTTTCAGCCAGCACCGAGTCCTGTAAAGTCACCAACCAAATTAAACCAAAGCAGAACTTCTGTAGGTACTGACGAGGAATCTGATGTGACACAAGAGGAGGAACGTGACGGCCAGTACTTTGAGCCTGTTGTGCCTTTGCCAGATCTTATTGAAATCACCAGCGGAGAAGAAAATGAACAGACTCTTTTCTGCCATAGAGCTAAGCTTTACAGATTTGATAAAGGTATTAATCAGTGGAAAGAGCGGGGTATCGGTGACCTAAAGATTTTACAGAGCTATGACAACAAAGCAGCACGAATAGTAATGAGAAGAGATCAAGTCTTAAAATTGTGTGCCAACCACCGTGTTACACCTGACATGCATCTGGAACCAATGAAAGGGGCTGAGAGAGCATGGGTGTGGACTGCACAAGACTATTCTGAAGGTGAAAGTGAAGCAAAAGTAGAATTATTTGCTGTACGTTTTAAACATCAGGAGGTTGCAGACTTGTTTAAGGAAATCTTTGAAGAAGCCAAGTTTGCACAGTCAAAAGATAGCTTGCTCCCTCCCTTTTCTACACGTGTCACAACACCAAAGTCTTCACCGTGTGGGAAGGCTGCTGTAGCCATTCTGGAAGAAACCACAAAGGAGAAAACTGATTTGCCAGCTGTAACAACACCTGTTTCTGGGGTAAAATCTGATACAGCAAGTTCTTTAGAAAAAACACCAAAAAATGTTGTGTCCCCACCCAAGTTTGTATTTGGTTCTGAAGTAGTGAAAAATATCTTTGGTACAGAGAAGAAGGCTTTTACTTTTGGGAATTCTTCTGGAGCCGGTACATTGTTTGGCTTCAGTTTCAATCCTTCAAAGACTCAAAATGAAGAGGAAGGCAAACAGTCTTCTCAACCTACCCTAGGTAATCAAGAAACAAAGTCTTACAGTAGCATAAAAAGCACACCTGCTACTTCACATAAGTCATCGGAACAGAAGGTTTTGCAAAACCCCTCAGTCTCCTCTTCATCAGCAAAATGTACACAGCCTATACAGATAACGGCTAGAGGTAAGCTATCTTAGTTTTTTTTTTTCTTCCCATTTTAAATATTTCAAGAAATTTTGCATTTGCAGTTCTCACAGATATTCTAGAGACTTTATTGCTTTATTTTGATTGTATCTAATGTATACAGCCTTAGTAAAAATGTAATTCTATTGCTAGCAAAATTTGGCAGAGTATAATTTTGTGCACATCCCACTGAGGGAAAATAAAATATACAGCAGAGTTTGAAAAGTGTAACCATGTTTAATTATAAAGCTTATAGCACAATGTGGAGTATATCTTAGTAGTGAAGGTGGGACAAGGTGATGTACCATTTTTGCTTGGATTTAGTGCATCAGTACCATAACTGCGGAAATAAGCAGCTGCTGCTATTGTGAAGAGTTGCCCTGCTTTCTTACACCATACCCCTTTTTCTCTGTCATTCATTGACGAACACAGCCTTCATAATCTTGACCATAGGTTTATATTGCCACCTTCAGGAGTAGAACTAGACAGTAAAAAGAACAAGCACAGCACCGCCTATGGGCAACTGTTAGTAAACCCCCACTCTGCGATATGTAGCTCAGTTTTTTTGTATTGGGTAGGAGTAAGGACCTGGCTCTCTGCTGGGACCTGTGGTTCCATGGATTTTGTTTTTCCCTCCTTTTTTTGTTTTTTCCTCTCCTTTCGGCAGAGATCTTTAATCAACTACAGGGCTGGGCTACAGACTGGATAATATAGATTCTTGTAATCTCCACAGCCTGGCCAGTGAGCGTTCACAGACCTTATCTTACCGCTGGGTCGGCCATATGCTGGACTGGGGAGGCCAGCGTGTTGAACGTCTCTTAGGGAAACATATGTCCAGGCACCTGACGTATGTGTCAGTGTCGCCATGGCTGACAGCCCCCCCCCCCCCCATCTCAGGTGCAGTACCCGCATCTTCTGGGTGGGTGGAGTGGCATTTCCTGGCCTAGCAAGCTCTGCTACACATGGAGCTCACCTTGCCTGGCGGATGGACAGCTCACAGCACTGCTCCTCAACTCTCCTGGTCGGTGGTGGTGAGTCCTTCTGTGGTCCCCCTGGTCAACGGTAGTGATTTGGGGTTTTTCCTTCCCTCCCTCATGGGGGTGTTCTGTGCCTGGCGATGCCCAATCAAGCGTGGGATCCTCCCATGGCATTTGAAGCAGGTGCCCCACCTCCAGACCCCCCCCGCCTTTGTTGTGGCTGCTAGTCCCTCTGGGTCCTCTATCCCCTTTGATGCTCTTGTCAGCAGTCCTGCAATAATTTGTTTCCCGGGTTGAGGTTGTGTTTGGACGCAAGGCGAGTAAAAAGTGCCTTCTTCCTCCTCCCTCCTCAGAGCAGGATTCTGAGCTGGAGTCTTACTCTGTTGGCGCAGGTGCAGCCTTGCCTGTGTGCTCTGACACAGGCCCTGGTCCCTCTTACAGTGAGGAGTCCTTGACAGCCATTTCAGCACATGAAAAGGCGCTGATAGCCACGCTAATTACCGCGATGCGGGACATTTTGAAGCTTGAGGATCCTTTTGGGGTTACTGAGGAAGTATATGTCCCCTTTTGGATGTCACAAGCCAGTTCGCACCGCAAACATTTTTCTTTACCCACTCTATTTTGATTGGTTATTTCCAAGGATTGAAAACGCCCGCAGCGGTCTTTTTCGGTCCCGAGGCGTTTTTTTTCTGTGCATTACCCTTTTGAGGAGTCCTTTCTAAAGAAGTGGTCCTCTACTCCTATCGTAGATCCCCCCCGTCTCTAGGTTGAACAAGGCGACCATGATTCCAGTGGAGGGGTCTCTTTCCTTCAAGGACCTCACAGACAGGAAGGCAGAATCTATCGCACGCTCTGTTTACAATGGTAGGCTCAGCCCTTCTGCCAGTTTGGCCACAGATCTTATATCTCAGACACTTACTGAATGGGCTAAACACTTGCACCACAATTTTGGGTAATGAGCAGGTACCCCCGATCTATGTAGAACTGGCGGATCAGCAGGTACAGGGCTTCAAATATGTTTGTGATACTACCCTGGATGCAGCCCCTCTGCTCTCCAAGTTGTCCATCTCGGCTTTGATTTATTAGCGCGTTTTTTGGCTTAAGTGCTAGTCGACTGACCAAACATCAAAAAAAGCCTTGGCCGATTTACTCTTCCAGGTTGAGCATCTCTTCAGAGCCCCTGTGAACAACATTATTAAGGATCTTACAGGAGGGAAGAGTACTTTTCTCCCCAAATCCAGGAAGTGCAAGGAGCCACAACGCAAGCAGTCACAAATGACTTTTTCACTCAGCGGACAAAGGTTTCCAGCCCTACAAGGCCCCTGCAGGTGGAACTAAATGCCCCTGGCTTTGCAAGCCTTCGAAACCTGCGGACTGTCTCTCTTCAGCATGAAGGTCTGCACCCATCCGTTTTCCCGGGTGGAGGGTCACCTTCGTTGGTTCGCTGACTGGTGGACCTCCCTTCTTTCCGGCACCTGAGTCTGCGAACTGATTCTGTCTGGCTACAAAATAGTTTTCTGCCTTGCCCGCCAAACAAGTTCTTTCCTTCCAATCTTTGCCTCTCCCTGCTTTGTCTGCCGGCTCTATATGGGCGGTGCAGGCCATGCTCCTCCAGGGTGTGATGGCCCCAGTGCCTCCTTTGGAAAGGTGTCGGGTTTTACGCCAACCTTTTCATGGTCCCAAAGAAAGGTGTCCGGCCAATCCTGGACCTCAAGACCTCAATTGTTTTGTGAAAGTTCAGAGGTTCAAGATGGAATCAGTTCGTTCTGTGGTGGCCCCCCTCCATCAGGGGGATTTCCTGGCCTCCATATACATCAAGGATGCGTACCTGCATAATCCTATTTGTCCCAGTCATCAGTGCTTTCTGAGACTTAGTGCATGCCCCTGATCATATCAGTTTGTAGCATTACCCTTTGGCCTGGCTTCGGCCCCGTGGGTGTTTACAAAAGTGCTGGCTCCGATTCTGGCATCGCTGAGGCAATGGGGGATCACAATCATAGGTTACCTAGACGATCTTCTCCTGTGAGCAGAATCTGCCTCTGCGCTTAGGGAAAATGGGGAGATCACTATGCTCATCCTGCAATTCAGCAGGGTGTTGAATGTCCAAAAATCCTTGTTGCTTCCGACCCAGCGCTTGGAATACTTGGGGCTGATCCTCGGCTCAGCACAGGCGAAGGTGTTCCTCCCAATGAACAAGCTTCAGACTCTCCGGGCTGCCTTGCAGTTGCTGCTGTCCCACAAGTGGTCATCTCTGCGTGAGAGTGCTGGGTCTCCTGATGTCCACCTTCAAGGAAGTCCCATATGCCCAGTTGCACACCAAGGCTCTGCAGAGGGAGATCATATCCAGGTGGGACAGATCTCCAATGTCCTTGGACAACCAGATCCGTATGGGACGCGTGACTAAGGATGTCTCTTCTCTGGTGGCTGCGGTCTTCAGCTCTTCGGGTCGTGAAGTCATTTCTACCTCTCCATTGGATGGTGATCCCAACGGACGTCAGCCTGACTGGCTGGGGAGAGGATCTGGGTCTACATTCAGCCTAGGGTCGTTGGGGGTCGGAAGAGTCTCGCTTTCTGATCAACATTTGTGAACTGTGTGCAGTCAGACTGTCTCTTCCATTGGTCGGAGCTACTGCTTGGACAGCCGGTCAGAATCCAGTTGGGCAACGCCACAGCAGTGGCCTATATCAATCACCAGGGAGGGACAAGGAGTTCGGCAGCAGCACCAGAGGTCTCTCACATTTTTTGGTGGGTGGAACTTTACATTCAGGCTTTCTCCGCTATCTACATTCTGGGCATAGAAAACTGGTACGCCAACGTGGTACAACTGGTCGCAGACGTCCCCTGGTGACTTCTGTTGCACGCGGATTTCCTGTCCCAAGGGCCGATATTCCACCCTGCTTTACCATCTCTGGCTTTGATGGCTTGGCTATTGAAAGCCAGGTGCTTAAAGACAGGAGATTGTCAGCTTCTGTGCTTCCCACTATGTTGAAGGCTCGTAAGGCTGTGGGGTGGCATCTACGTTTTTTTCCATTTCTCAGATTCTGGCTTTTCTACAATGGGTTGATCAGAAGCTAGCCTTGAGCACTATTAAGGGCCAAGTGTCTGCTCTGGTGATCTTTTTTTCAATGCCCTTTGGCTACGCACTCTTTGGTTCATACCTTTTATTCAGGGGGTTCGGCATGTTGATGCTGTAGGGCCTGAACCTGGTTCTTCAGTCCTTCAGAAACTACATTTTGGGAACATTGGGGATTTTCCCTTGCTCATGCTCTCTCAGAAGGTCGCTTTTCTGGTCGCTATCACTTCTGCTCGGTGGCTGTTTGAGCTGGCAGCCTGGTATTGTAAGTCTCTTTATCTGGTTCTCCATATAGATAAGGTGGTTCTTCATCTGCCTCCCTCCTTTCTTCTGAAGGTGGTGTCTGCCTTTCACCTAAATGAGGACATTATCTTCTCTTCCTTGTGTCCACGGCCGTCTCATCCCAAGGAGTTTGCACTGCACTAGTTAGACGAGGTTTGGGCCATCCATGTGTACCTCTCTGTTGCAGCCGAAGGTTGGATCCGCTCTTTGTGATTGTGGATGGTCCGCGTAAGGGTCTGGCGGCTGCTTCGGCCAATATTTCTTTTTGGATCAGACAGACAGTTGTGCAGGCTTATGCAATTAAGGGTCAGGTGCCTCCCTTCCCTGGCTCGGCGCACACTACATGGGCGATTAGTACTTCCTAGGCATTCTGTCGTTAGGCGTCCCTGTCTCAACTTTGTAAGGTGGCTACCTGGTCGACTGTGCACCTTTTTACCAAGTTTTACAAATTGATGTTTTGACATCTTCAGATGCATGTTTTGGCTGCAAGTTTTTGCAGGTTGTTTGAGATTTTCTTGTACATCATACTTTTAGGTGGTTGCGTGTTTTCTTATTATGAGCTCCCACCCCTCATTATTGCACTGCTGTGGTACATCCCTACGGTCAAGATTATGAAAGCTGTGTCAGTCAATCAACGATAGAAAAAATGAAATTTTTTTGTTACCGTA